CAAGGCCACGCCCACTTACTGGTTACCAGCTTTGAGTCATATAGCTCCACCACCCATCCGCCGGGAACATGCCCTTGTCAGAGAATTTACAAAAATCAATACTGATCCTGAGCTCCGCTCCCATGTCGGAACTTCCGCCAGAGACATAAATAGGCTCCGTTCAAGACACCCGCCTCTAAAAACAGCAAAAAGGCTAGTAGATCAAAACTTTAATGTAACTGAACGGTGGAGAGAACAATGGGAGAATAACGCTGCACCAGCTAACTGGAACATGCCATGTATTACAAGCAAACCTGAGGGCTTCAACCAACCGAGACGAATTTGGACCACACTCAATAGAATAAGGACGAACTGTGGCAGATGTTCCGACTCACTTTTTAGATGGGGAAAAATACAATCACCAAATTGCGACTGCGGCGCTGAAAGGCAAACAGTAAAACACATGGTAGAGGAATGCCCGATTAGATCCTATAATGGCAACCCTTCAGATTTCCTGGCTGCTACAAAAGAGTCAATCGAGTATATTTATAATCTAGGTGTTTGTTTGTAGAATAATATTTTTATATTTACTGTTGTTTGTAATTTATATCATTTATATATTTATATTTATATGAACCTGTGATGTAGCCATACGCTAAATAAAAATAAAATAATGGTTCCAACATTCTGTTTTAAAGATTTTTTATAAAATTAATTTCAGTAATTTAAATGTTTTAAAATTTTCCAGAATTAACTCTATATGTAGTGCAATCCCATTCTCGTTTACTCGTATTCTCAAAATTCCCTAAAAATACACAAACTCGATTTTTTATTTATTAAAAAAATGCAATAATATAAAAAAAATCTTAAACTAGTTTATTTAAACAATACACTTATATTATCCAAAAACCACATAAAATAGACTTTGTGAGAAGACAAGTTAATTTGATTGTTATAAACCAAAAAATCTGCAAAACCTAAGATTAAAATTAAGTAATGTCACTTCAAATAGGATAAGAGGATAGATGAAGAAGCTTTATTTTTTGTTAAACTCTGTATATAGGAGGATTATGTTTTATAGCACTTTGTAAGCTGTTCAATTATCATAATCAAACTTTAATCGCCGATCATATACCTTGATACACGCCTGAAAATGAATAGAGGATTCATTGACCTCACACAGCGACAAGTTTCCATAGTTGGCACTATTTTTAGCAAGAGTATATGCAAAACAGTACACTAGACAAATTGTTCGTTCTTCACATACAATAATATACCTTGTATACTCAACGTAATCATTTTTGGTCGTTGTTTCTTTAATCTGCAATTTTTCGTCTTTTGCTCTCCCTAGTTGAGTCCCGTTCAGTCATTTTCTCCTTGTTAACTAATTTATAAAACTGTGAATAGTTTTAGTGTAAATATCAAGACCTTTTTGTAAAGATCTTGATATTTATTTTAGGACCTTTTTATTTTTTTAAAGTAATAATCTTTTTGTCTGGGATATATTTGATTAAAATAATAATTTTTCTTTTTTCTTTTTGTTTCAAAATAACTCAAATTGAATTACATACCTTATAGTACACTCACCTAATTTTGGCTTTTAGTGCAGTAACTATTTCTCGTTTATAGAAAATCAACTGTAGATTCCATTCTGTTTTGTTATTATGCAAATCTCTCTCTCTCTCTTCATTCCCGACCCCCCGGAGGGAGTGTAGTGGTCATCTACAGATCTCTTTTCTTGGTAATTTTTTTTAACTGATGCATAGGTCTTTTGTATATTCCCGTAATTTGGTCAATCTATCTTGTAAGAGATCTTCCTCGTAAACTTGGGACTTCTATCTGTCATTGGATAAGTCTTTCCATGATTTTTGCGTCTGCTCTCGTAATATGTCCAAAGTATTGTAATTGTTGAAGATGGACTGGCTGATGAGCAGTTTGCTGACCTTTAAGTCATTTGAGACGCAGGAACAATGCAAGCTTGTAAGAAAGAAGTCAGTTTTTTAGTTACGGAATAGCCAGCATGCTCTGCCGACTTGAACCCACTCAAAAATTAATGAGGTAAGCTAAACTAATAATTCGAGGTAGGTATACCCAAAACGTAAGCTCACAGCTTATTATTGCAGAAAAAAATAGTCATTTAACATTCCACAAGGAGCAATAACAAACTTGATTAAATATATGCCCAATCCTAAGAGATATATTATTAAGATAAGAGGAGCTCATTCTTCTTCTTATGGTGCCCTATCCTTCTTCTTCTTCTTGTAGTGCCTATCCGTTTCGGATGTTGGCGACCATTATGACAATCTGCACTTTGCACACTGCTGCTTTAAAAAGATTTGTGGTTGTTGTGGTGAACCACGTTCGTAGATTTTTCAGCCAGGAAATCCTTCGCCTTCCTGGTTCCCGTTTTTCTTCTATTTTTGCCTGCAAGATTAGTTGCAGCAGTCCATACCTTTCGATGTTCCTCATGATGTGACCGAGGTATTCGATTTTGGCTGTTTTTATTGTGGTTAACAGCTCTTTTTCTTTTTTCATTCTCAACAGAACATCCTCATTAGTAACGTGGTCGGTATACGATATCTTCAGGATGCAACGATAAAGCCACATTTCAAAAGCCTCAATTTTCTTGCAGGTGGCGTCTGTGAGAGTCCATGACTCAACTCCGTACAACAGTATAGGAAATATGTAACATTGTAGTAACCTGATTTTTATGGGCATTGATAAATCATGACATTTGAATAACTTAGCCATTTTTTGAAATGCAGATCTTTCTTTCAGCCAGGTTGTCATCTACCCGGGCCTCGTCTACCTTCTATTTTCCCTTCTATAATAAGCTGAAGGAAGTTACACCTGTCGTGTCTAAATATGTGCCCAAGATAAAACGTTTTACGCTTCTTGACAATTTCTGTGTGAGTTCACGTTCTCTATTCATACGCCCTAAAACTTCTTCATTTCTAACGCGCTCGGTCCATGGAATTTTCAGCATACGACGAAATACCCACATCTCAAAGCTCTCTAAACGTCGTAACGAGCTGACTGTTAACGTCCAAGCTTCCACGCCCTGTAGCCAAGATTACGGCTTCGAAATTAAAAGTGGCACAGAGACGAATGGAATGTTGTGGAACGCATAGCGGAACTAAAATGGAATTGAGCATGTTGCGAGAATGCATGACTCACGATTGGAGGCCAAGAGCAGACAAACGTAGTAGAGGAAGACCACCTACACCTTAGACTGGCGACATTAGGCGTATCTCAAAAAATTGGCAAACAAGAACTCAACATCGCAAAAAATGGAGGAGTTTAAGGGAGGTTTATGTCCAAAAGTGGACGTAATAAATAAAGGCTGGATGATGATGATGATGATGATGATATGAATTACAGCAAGACCAAAACTATAACAAATACAGATGAAGACATCACAATGAGAATCAGACAAGATGAAATAGAACAAGTTAAGGATTATATATATATATATATATATATATATATATATATATATATATATATATATATATATATGTATATATATATATATCTTGGTCAAACTATAAAACTTAACAAAGAGAACCAAACAGCAGAGATCAAGAGACGAGTTAGACTGGCATGGGCGGCATTTGGCAAACTAAGCTAGATTCTTACAAACAAAAGATATCCACAGCATCTTAAGACCAAAGTGTATAATCTATGCGTACTCCCTGTTCTTACTTATGGTTCCCAAACGTGGACATCTACAAAAGCAAACATGGACAAAATCATAAAAACCCAAAGAGCAATGGAAAGACAAATGCTGCACATAAGACTAATGGATAAGAAGAGAAACGAGTGGATAAGAGAGAAAACAAAAGTGAGGGATGTTAGACAAGAAGTTGCAAAATTGAAATGGAGATTTGCAGGACACAATATAAGACAAAAAGAAGACCAATGGAACAAAATTCTTATAAGTTGGAGACCGTGGGAATATAAACAAAGCAGAGGAAGGCCCCAAATGAGATGGGCAGATGATATCAAGAAGCACCAGGGCTCTAGATGGATGACTGTAGCGACAGACAGAGAAGAATGGAAAAGGATTGGGGAGGCCTATGTCCAAAGATGGACAGAAGAAGGCTAATTAGATAGATAGATAGATGATGACGATGAGTATATCGACAAAAATCAAAATTCGTTTTAAAGAAGAATACACACAGTGGGTCCTAAATGCATTTCATTTTAGAGCAGCTGCATCTAAGATCCAACTAGCCATGATTATAATAGACAACCTCAGCCGTGGTGATGGTACGTACAGAAGAAGATTTTTGCGAGATTCTATAAATTATATTTATTTTATAAACATTATGTCGGGTCGGGAAGATCATGCATCAACACGCATGCATGAGAAGACAACAAACCAACAGACCTATGTTTCGTGGACCTTAAAAATGCATTTGACAGGGTGAAAATAAAGAGATAATTTTCACTTATTGTACGCAACAGAGATACCGCTAGAGATAATTACATCAATCGAAATACCTACCTAAACATCACAATAAAAGTAAAAGAAGAAGAAGAACTTACACCCAATTGAAGCAGGCCATGGGATAAGATAGGGAGATTTTCTGAGTCCTTTGTTGTTCGACCTGATCATTCATCTGATAATTTAATTATATAATGTCAAATGTTATTATTACTATCAATTATTGTTAAAAACATTTATTTTTCAAGTCATAGTATATTTAAATTTATTACTTGCTCTATCTTTAATCGGTTGTGGCCACATTGAATATATTATTTAAATTGAATTGAATTTGAATACATTGAATAGAAAACCAGAGATCATTTACAACTTTTCTTTAATACTGTGTACCACATAGTATTTTTAAAATGCGTAGACATTTATAGTCAACGATAAACAAGTTTCACAGATTTTTTTAAGAATTAACTCGAAATGTTGCAAAATTTTTAACTATTTTACAGAATGCAACCAACAAACATGTAACTCGAATCCTCAAAAAGTCAAATACCCACAAATACATTTATATAACATATCAGTCTTTTCCCTTATTGTAGTAAATGACAGGTCCCACAGCGACAACTTTTCCTATTCTAGAAGGTGGAAATATAGGATCAAATCTGGTTTTATTTGCAAGACCATTTTCCTTTACCAGATCACCTAAATTAACTGTAGGGTCAACAGCTACAACTTTGGTTCCAGATCCAGCAATGGCGAGACTGTCAGGCTGAGTATAAGCTACTCCACCGGGACCAACAATAGCAGTGCCACCGCTACCTGCAGTTGCTATACCACCAGGTCCAGCGATTGCAACGCCTCCTTTTCTTACTTTTAGTCTATGAATGAACACACCACTTCCGGTATTATCGCGGCTAAACAGCTTCTTATTATTGTCGTTAGATATAACTTCCTCACTCTTTTCTTCTTCACTTTCATCTCCGAACTCATCGGTTTGATGTGTGGGATCTCTTGATGGTGGAGAAATGATTGGAGCACGTGTTGGTTTAATAGATTGATTTTTTACTACTGTAATAGGTCTCAAATCCTTATGGAAAATCAGATGGAAATTTACTACTATGCCTAGCATTAGAAGAGTTTGTATTTAAAACTAACGAATTAGATTTTCCCACAACCTTAATTTTATCCCAACTATTTCTACCCGTTCCAATATCATCGCTATCATCTTTTACTTCCCTCTCTTCCTTTCTTAAGTTTAAAGTAAACTTTAGGCTACTGTCTCCTGTAGCCCCTATATCAATGTCCTCGATATCCAAGTAAGTACCGTTTCTGTCATCTCCATTTATGGATATCTGTGGAGAGGAACGGCTACCATCAACTTGAACGCTAATTTTGGCCTCATCAGAATTCTTTGCTTCCCTGATAATATTGTCAGATTTAATTTTGCTTGTAGCTGGATTTCTACCCTTGTTACACGGATTTTGCATTCCAGCATTTGGACCATATTCTATCATCGTAGTTATGGCATTATACATTTGGAGAAAAGGGTCTTTAATGTGTACAGGAAAATAATTAGCTCCTGGCCAATTCCAGTTTTGTCTAGATGTTTCAGGATTAACAGTAGGGTACGGTATGTATATGTTATAGCTATTATCATTATTAGAAACTTGTCCCAAGGGACTTTGTTGTTCCTGTTCAGGTTTGTTTGGAAAAGTGTAACCGTAGAGTTTATTTTGGTTGGGAGTATTATCGATGGGTAGAAATGTGTTATAATAAGACGGATATCCTTGATTTTGAGAAGTACTAATAATATTTCTAATATTAGAGATAGTTTGTTTTTCGAGGTTGTTTAAATATTTTGTATCTGCGGGGGTCCCTTCTGGGCTTTGTTTATAAACGCCAGGATTATTTGGTGCAACCGGATATTGAAATGGGTATTGATATCCCATCGGAGTTTGCATTGCATAGTTAGGGTTTGGTACCAAAACAGTTTGCTGGTGTACAATTTTTCGCTTGATCAATTGGCCAGGAATTATATCTTCTGGTGTAATTTGTGCGTTATGATCGGTCGAAGTTATTTGAAAACCTTGAGCGGGAGTTAAGTCTTGAGACTGGCGATTTGTTATTTCGTAAACTGATGGATATTGGTTACTGTTTTGGTTTCCAACTTTTTCTTGTTCTAAAAATTCCAGAATTGGATTCTGAAAAGGACTTGTTGGAAATCTAAATTCACTGCGTGCAGTTTCTTCCGGTTTACTGTTAAGAAAGTGAAGATTGTGTTGATTTTGCGAACGTGGAAGCCCTAGTGTAGGTTTTTGAGGACTAACTGATTTTTGTGTTTTATTATCCAAACCATGTTTCTTGTTTACTTCTGCTATTTTTTCCAAAATATCTGTAGTTTTCTCAGCTATTTTTTGTAATTGATCAGGTTTGTTGTCTGTATTTATGTTCTTCGACCTAAAAAATATTGATTGTAAGTACTCAGATTATAGTACTGAGAAAATACAAACCCGTGTTAATTATATTAATACAAATTAGTAAAACTTACCCCAAGAAAAAGAGGCCATCTAGATTCCTATGTCTTCTAAAACTACACTATAAGTTCTATAGTCACTAAAGTTCCCCAAATAAACAGAAAAAAAAGCATTCAATCTTATATCTACTTGAACAACTATGCTATAAGAAATTAAAAGAAATATTTACTGTCGAAGTAAAGAAAATTGAAAATACTTATAGAGATATAAGGCTAATAGGTGATATTCAATCCTTAAATGACTGAGAAATTTTATGTTTACTAGACTACAATCTTAATAGCTATAATAGAACCGTAGATATAATAACCGCAAAGTCTAACTGAGATCAGAATATCAAGTGAGCATGAACATTTCATTATGTCATTGACGTCAACAATTTCATTTATTAATACATTTTTTATATTAGCTTAGGTCATATCAAATGAATATTATTTAAACAAGTTATTTGGTGAAAAGTTTATTAAGCAAACCGTTTTTAAAGAAAGTAATTACAAGACATACGCGGTGGTGATTCCTCAAATAAACATCTACTGCCATTTGTTTTTACGAAAGTTAGCTACCTTGGAACTTTTCGCAGTATAGTAATAAGGTACATGTACCAAATAAGGCCCGGTTCCTAACAAGGCCCACCCTCATGTTTTTACATAAACAATTTGAAAAAGTACCAAATTCTCTTACAATCACTTAGGTACTGGCATCTGGTGGGCGAGACAATAACTACTTCGGCAGCCATTGTTGTGTTAGGCTTTTTATGTTCATTTGTGTTGCCGCAACCAAGAAAGCAAAGCTGTGTTCTTATTTGCAAGGTATGTTATATCTGTTTACATCCATGTTGTTATAAATAATTTTGTACTGTAAATTTTTATTTATAAACAGGAAATTGTGTGTTTTAATATGCTAGTTTTATTTTTCTAAAACGGCGTATATTTACAGAGTTATTAACAGATCTCGAGTTTCAACTACTGTTAAGTCGGTGGCTCCTAATAAGGCCCACCCGTAGTGCTCCAAACAAGGCCCGGGTGGGCCTTATTCGGCAAACTCCTGTTTTTCTGTATTATTGAATACATTTTGGAAATTGAATACAGTTTCAATGCCAAGTGGCATGGAAAAAATATTATTTATTGTGCTAAGGGATCACTTACAGTTTTAAATACAGAGAATAATAATTATGTAAGAAAATACATCCAATAATACAAGTAGACTAATAAAAAAAAATTACATTGACTAAGCAATATTAAAACACATTTTTTTAAATCTATGATGGGAGTTATATTATTTTGTTCTGTTTATCTGGCATTGTACTTGTACGTCTAATTAATTTTTCAAAAACTATAAAAATATAAGTCTACAATTCAGAAGTATGAGTGTATTTATTTATTGAATTTTTTTATTTTAAGATAGATTCAAAGAAAAAAACGTGCTACCTGGAGTGAGGATGATTTAAAAAAAGCGATGGAAGCTGTTAATGAAGGGATGTCAGTCAGAACTGCATGTAAAACTTATGGTATCCCCAGGCGTACGTTACGCAACCACGTAAGTAGCGGTGTAGCAATTAAGAAGTTAGGACGGAAACCTTGCTTGGAGGAAACTCAAGAAAGAGAACTTACTCAAAGAATTTTTCGGCTTGCTGAAGTCGGGTATCCACTAACAGCTAAAATTCTCCGACGCAGTGTTTTCGAGTTCTGCGAAAAAAATAATTTACAAAATCCTTTTAATGAAGAAAAAGGTTTGGCTGGGCGCAAATGGCTTAAGTTATTCCTACTGAGGAACCCAAAGGTTGCCAGAAGGAAGGCGCAGCATATGAATCCAGGAAGAGCTGCAAAATTGAATAAGTTTATTGTCAATGATCATTTCGAGAAATTAAAAAATATTATGACCAAATTAGAGGCATTTGACAAACCTCAACTCATCTATAATATGAATGAAAAGGGTTGTCGTCCGTCTCTCCACAAGTCTCCTCAAGTTTTAGCAAAGAAAGGTGAGAAACGGCTACACTTTGTTGCTCCTGAACATGGAGAAAATGTATCCATTGTATCGTGTGGAAATGCAATTGGGCAGGGTATTCCTCCAATGATCATTTTCAAAGGAAAGCGATGCAAGCCACAATGGGAAGATTATTTGCCACCTGGAACAGCGGTAGAAATGACAGACAAGGGCTCAATGACTACATCGACCTTTATCAAGTGGCTGCATCATTTTGCTAAGTACAAAGCTGCAGGAGAAGTTCTGCTAATTTTTGATGGAGCATCGTCATATTTAGATCCAGATATTTGTGACGTAGCTGAAGGTCACAGTATTAGACTGTACTGCTTGCCTAGCAATACGACTCATGAACTTCAGCCTATGGACAAGTCAGCATTTAAACCATTTGAGTCTTATTGGGACGATAAGGTCCAATTACATTGGTCGACTAACAAAGGAGAAGAAAATAGAGCAATTAGTAGACGGGTATTTGGAAAAATCTTTAGCAAGGTATGGCCAAAAGCTGCGTCACCAGTTAATGTGATGTCTGGATTTCGAGCGACTGGGATTTATCCTTTTGATCCAGAATCTATTCCTGACTGTGCATTCACTCCTTCGCATCCTTCACAACGTCCTGATCCAGAAGAAAACATGCGAATGGGTTCCGAACCTGCTGAAGCATCAAAGATTCCAACAGTGTCCGAACAAAGGAGTTTCCGAAAAAGGAGACGCCAATCCAGCAGTTCTAGTTCTTCGGAAAGTGAGCTATTTTCTGTGAGGGATAGTTCATGTGATGTCAGTCTTAATGGCGATGATGACGATAGCGACAACCATAATGAACTCGACTGTTCCTTTCAAGACATTTTGAAAAACTTCAGAGCTGAGAAAGAAAACTCCAGACTCCTAGACGGAAGGCACTAAACTATCAGGCGCAAGAGGTAACTAAAGAACTATTTGCTGAAAGATAAAAGAAGCAGAGTGCCAAAGTAAATAATGCCTCTAAGGAGGTTTCGGTTGGGAAAGGAAAGAAAATTCCGGTGAAACAAAAACATCTGGAGAAATTTAGTAATGAAAACGGCGGTTCTGCTCTAAGCTGCAGTGGAACATTAGAAGCTGTTAACTGGTTTTGTCATTTATGCTGTGAGGACAGAACAGCTGACATGAGACTTTGCAAAAAATGCAAAAAGTATGTACATGAAGAATGTGTAGGGTTGACATCCAAAGACAAAGTGCCGAATTTCGTATGTCCATGGTGTGAGAAGTGATAATATATCATTTGTTAATTATATTAATGTTTATTAAATATTTGGTAAATCTTTTCATTGGTTTTATTGCCATTAACACGCTTCATAGATTAAAGTTTTGGGGTGGGCCATATTAGGGACCGGCTTTGGGCCTTATTTGGAAGATGGGTTTCTAATAAGGCCCTACTTCAAGAGTTCATAATTTATTTGATTATGATAATACTAATTACGAAATAATTTTTTTTGTATTTTATTTATATATTACTAGAACTGAAGTATGTTACACATTTTTCCTGACCTCGTATGTCCTAAGTATAATAAATTAAAAGATAATAATTGTTAGATGGGCCTTATTTGGTACACGTACCTTACAACTAAGTTCTTTTTTGCTTGGATTTTATTCGTAATTTTCCATACAGTTACGAAGATTTTTTCCGATATGCTCGTCACATAAAAATACCGATCAGCTCCAGTGTAGCAACTACAGATATATAACTCTGTGAACAACTGTTTACAACATCCTAGCAAATATTTTCTACAAAAGGCTACAAGTTTACACAGTTGGCATATTTGGAAAATACTAGGACGGATTTGCTTTAGAAAAATCAAAAATTGACCAGATTCATTCAAGACGGATCCTCGAGAAAACATTAGAATTTAAAATTGAAACCCATCACCTATTCGTCGACTTTAAGACCGCATACTACATTGTCAAGAGAACAGTACTATACCAATTAATGCGTAAGTTTGGTATACCAGAAAAACTTATCCGATTACCAGGAATGACAATATCTAACTTAAAACCAGCGTTAGGATACAGGGAGAAAATTCTCGATCTTTCGAGATAAAGGATGCTCTCAGACAAGGGGATGCCCTGACTTGCCTCCTATTTAACATTGCCTTGGAAAGGGTAGTCCGAGACATACGATAGAGATGGCAGTACTATTTACAATAGATCGATACAAATCTTAGCATACGCTGATGACATTGACATAGTGCCAACGGGCGTAGTATGCGAAATGTTGAGCAATATTTCCTAGAATTGGAAACAGCGACGAAACAGGACGGTCTAGTTATGAACGAAGACAAAACTAAGTACATATTGGTTACTAAGGATCATATGGCAAATGAGGAACGGGAAGTAACTACTACCAATAAAACAAGCGAAGAAGTTAAAAAACTAATAAACCTTACAAATAGGGCACACTATGGACTCCAAAAACAATTCCACTTAAAAAAAAATATTTTAAGAAAAATTAAAATTATTATATACAAAACACTGCTGAGGCCAGTTTTCACATACGGGGCAGAAACATGGACTCTAACACAAAAGGATTAAAGAATTCTGGGAATATTTGAGCGTAAGATATTCTGCAAAATATTTGGAGCTGTAAACGATCAAGGGCAGTGGTGCAAAATATTTAATTTTAAATTATATCAAGTCTTTAACTAACCAGATGCCGAAACGTTCAATAAAACATGCGCCGAAGCGACTTACATGCGCCAAACACATTATACGAATGCCTGACAACATGATTGCTAAAAAGCTAAAAACAGGAACACCTATAGGAAGAAGAAGCTGAGGCCAACCGCGAATTAGGTGGTTCGATGGAGTTGAAACTGACTTAAGGATACTAGAGATCACATTAACAGAAAACGAACAGAATCGACTAATCTTAGAGCAGGTCAGGATCCACAGAGGATTGTCCAACCAAAGATGATGATGATAATGTACATATAAAAAAAATTCTGTTGTTAAGGTTGTTGGTCTTAGTGTACCAAACGTGCCATACAAGAAATAAATAAAAGAAAGAAAGATGAAACTAAACACACAAATCAGTAGGAGGAACAAAAACTCGGACTCCGGGAAATGCTGGATGAAGTGAGTAGCTCAGTAACTATTAGTGCAGGTCTCAAGGCCATTATAAAGGAGAAGAGTTGGACAAAAGGCTAGTAACCTATCCCCACAAACAAAACCATTACTACAAAATCCGCAAACAAGACTCGGATTAGAGTGATATTAAGGAAACGATATTGGTAACGGAACAAGGTTCCTCTTTTGGAACTTGGAACGTTAGAACTTTAAATAGACCGAGAGCGTTGAGTGCCCATTGAGAGTTTAGAATTTTCAAAAATGCACTTTCTGAAAAACAAAAAGGAATAATTGTAAACGGTGAAGTCATCACTATTTTGCGATATGCGGGCGACACAGTACTCCTAGCATCTACTCAAGAAGATCTGCAGATACTATTTGATAGTGTCGTTGAGAGACGTAAGTAAGCAAGTCTGGATCTGAATATGCGGAGACATATAAAAGAATTTTAAAAGTTTCTTGGATGAAAAAGATTCAAACCTTCCAATATTAGAACGTCTCAGTAAGAATATTGAAATTATAAAAAGCATCAAAAAGAGAAAGCAAGAGTACTTGGAACATGTAATGAGATGACCTCTCATTACCAAATATAGATTGATACAAAATATTAGGCATGGGAAAACTGCAGGCAAACGCAGTCCAGGACGAAGAAAGACGTCATGGTTAAAGAACTTGCGAGATTGGTATGGTATTAATACAAGCATGCTATTTATGGTGAATAAAAATAAGATAGCTATAATGGTAACCAACGTTCTAAAATCACATGGTACATAAAGAAGAAGAAGTTAAGCACATTGCTTAGTAAATTGGAATGATGCAAGTTTGGTTTTGCAGCAATATAGAAAAGAAGATGGTTAGGGAATGGTATACGGGACACAACAACACATACCAGCATTTCAAGTGGTTTAGATACAAAAAATAAAGAATTTAGGGTGACGTTTATAGTCGATAATAAACTAACACTTTATTTCATAACAGATTTTCAAGTAGTTAATGAACGAATTTGTATAATACAAATAAAGACTTATTTCTTCAGTTTATCGAGAATAAACGTTCACTGCGCAACGAATAAAGTAGTTTTATACCAATTACTAGAACTTATGACCTTACACCAAAAAACGATATTAAAATAGTTATAGCTGATACAAACATAAAGTTAGGAATTGAAAAATAATACATCGGAATAATTGGGAGGCATGCCCTACATAGAGACACGAATAAAAACGGCCATCGTATTGATTTTGCAACTAATAAAAACCTGATAATTAGTTTTACCATATTTTCTTACAAAACATACACAAAGGTACCTGGATATCCTCTAGAGGAGATGTGAACCAAATAGACAATGTCTTAATAGGAAAGCGATCAGCAACAAGCATTTTTGACGCAAAAAGTAGACGAGTTGCATGCTCCTACTCACACCATCTACTAGTTCAGGTACCCTTCAGATGTAGGATTAGCCGAGAGACAAAGAAGAATTACAAAAAAAAAAATAAATTCTAGATTGAAGAAAACTGAAAAGACTCGAAAGTAAAAAAGAAATTTAAAGAAGAAATAAAGAAGAAACTGACTACAAGTAAATATGCAGGAAATGAAAAAAAAAACAATAGAAGACCAGTGGAACCTAATAATTAAAACTACATTAACTGCAGCAAAATCGATGCTAGGAACTAAAGAAAGGAAAGATGACCAATTGTTTTAAAATGAATGGGCGTAAGGCGGTAATTGAAAAACGAGGGATATTTGACTACACGAAATAGAGAAAGAAAAATTATATTTTTAAAACAAACGACGAATAGCTAATAAACTGTGTAGACAAAAGAGGGAACACATAAACAAACAACTAATGGATATGGAAATAAATTTTAAAGAAGGCAAAACACGAAATGCATATAAGTTTATGAAACAAATAAAACAAGGACATAAACCCCAAGTTGGAAGTTCCCCTCTCAAGGCAAATGGCTAGATCTGCCACTGCATAAGTGACTATAATAATAATGTGTTTGTCAATTTAAACAAGGAGAGGACTTCATAAACAGGGCATATTTAGATAAAATATTAAGCGAATTTAATCACCCAAACTAGTTACACTTGTCCGAATGACTACGACGGACACAGTAGGTTATGAACTGGTACCAATATTGTTTAAATTAGCACTGTAATGATTAGTTATACGCTCCTTAATATATCTATTAGTCAGAGAAGAAGAGGAAGACCCAGAACAAGCTTCCTTAATAACATCGATGAATACATAAGAATACGTGCTTGGCGGAGAAAGGCAATAGATAGGGACGACTCTAGAGAAATTCTTGAGGAGGATAGGACCCACGCAGGGTTGTAAAGCCAGAATGATAATGATGATTAGTTATAAAAACAACACACTTCATCAATAAATCAGTTATAATGTTTCTATTATATAGATTTAAATCGTACTTTCCTAGAATGCAAAATTAACGAGAGAAATATAGACCAATTATATTACAGACTACAACAACAACAAGCATGTTTTCCAATTAGTATAAATATTTACTAAGTTTCCATAATATGAGATTAATTAAATTACTGATCGACGACAATCTAGAATCTGAGTCTTCAACACGAGAATACTACTGATAGTGAGCTATGAATAAATGTGCTTTGGATGAGCAAATAAAGTGTATAAAAAGAGCGCGTTTTTCAAGCCATAAGTAGCCAAAGCTAGCTTTACTCTAGGCCCCATGTAGGGTGTCCTACAACTGGGGGCCTCCTTCACGAGGCTCTGCTCCTTGATCGTCCTGAGACTCTTTTGCTAGGACCTTTTTTCAATTTCAAACTGAGTTTTATTTAACCATCCTACCAAATTAAGATGAAAACGCAGAGGCAATTCGGATTGACTAATCGAAGCCCTCTGTGGAGCACCTAGGGAGCTGATATGAAGTTGTTTCCTACGAAGACCCTAACCCACCTATGGTGACAGTAACTTGTATCATTGAGTTGATAACTTATAAGTCTCAAGCTTACAAAGCCTTTTTCAGATTATTAAATAGATAAGAGAAAATATTCTAGTCTTAAAAGTTGAATTTTTCGATGCTCAAAGCATAACGATTGGAATATAATAAACAAAAGTGAGTTTTATAAATTTTGAACAACAGTTGTAGTATAAAAACGTATATTTACAATAATAATACACATAATTAATAAATATTATAAACATTTTAAATTTATATTTCGTTTAAATGTACTCTTCTTCTTATTTTAAAATTATCTTTTTATTCTTAAATTTTACTGATAATTTGCAGCAAATAAATTAGAAGGGACATAAATTACGCACAATTTTGACAAAGAACATTATTGACAATTACTTGAAAATATAATTTTCAGCAGAAGTTTGAACTAAATTGTAAATTAATTCATTAATTTTTTTTTTATTATTGAGTTAATGCCTCGACAACTAAGATCATTGCAATGGTACTGTCAGGTACCTAGTGTAGTGAGTGTGTGTGTGTGTGTAGAGTAATTGTCTTGATACTTAGCAAAGTCGACGTCATTGTCTATGCTAAGAGACGCTAATTGTATCCAAACGTCTGCGGTCCCTCCGGTGAGTACCGGTCGCACAAGGATAGAAATTATTTTCATTTATTAATTTTTAATAAACAAAAATCTCTCCACCCAGATGAGATTCGAACTCTCGACCTTTAGGTTTAAAGGTGGGCGCTCTTATCACTGAGCCACAGAGGGGGTTAATTCATTAATTTGCAATTTATGTTTACGGCATTTGTATAGTTCATAAAAAGCTCATACGAGTTTAAAAAAAATATACTTATTTATATTAAGTAGTTTTCGAGATATTACAAGTTTATCTTGCAAGTATATTTAAATTTGAAGTTATAATTTCACTTTTCATAGCTTTCCATTAATAATTTTCCCTCTATTCTCCCGGAGGCTTAATAGAAGCTTTGCTGAGGGTTTATTTTAAAAGTAAACCTTTTGTAATTTAAGATAGTAATCTTGAAATGCTAAATTAATAAATACTTTGTTTTCTTAAAACTTTAAGATATTCTGATCTCAAGCTAGTCCTCCAAACTAACAGAAGACTTTGGTGACACATAAACACAGAAATGTTATAATATTAGTAAGAATTAACACTAATTTCAGGCAATTAGATTGAAAAAAATACTTACTCTACTGACGGTGGAGCTGCATTATCGTTCAGTTGTGGTCTACAGCAGACTTCAACAAATAAACATATCTGAAACAAAATGAATTATTTCATAACTATTATAAAATGAAACCTTAAATGAGACACAAATTTTATTTGATAAAAATTAAACTAATAAAATATAGATAAAAGAAAATACTACTAATCAGTAAGTAGTAGCGGTCAAGAATTTAAGTCAAGAATAAGAGATATTAACGGTGACATTCTACATGATACAAACATTTCTTTAGCGAACTCAGCGCTTAGCGAATGCTCTGCTTTTTTGCTCTATAAGTAGAAATCAAATAATTGAACAACCATACTAAGAACGTGGACATACTCAAATGGAGTGTGACTCCATTCACAGTCGAATAGAAACTAAAATTAAAGGACGTGATATATATCTGCCTTCAAGGTATCTTTCTATTACTCGTGAAGCTAGACAAACTCCCTATCCATATGTGGCCAAATGGGTAACGTAAGATCGGTTTAAAGATTATTTGAAAAAGGAAAACCAGATATATGCCAGCATACGACCAGGGAACAAAAATGTGACTTACATTAGAGCTATTAAATATACATTCGAAGGTGTGATTTTCTACAAACTCAACTTTGATGATTTATGGGTAGAACTACCGCAGCGTAGAAACAGACAAGAAGTATTCTGTAAAGAAGAAAAATAAAGGCTCAGAAATGGAAACATCTTCAAGATTTAAAAGCTGTTATCCCTCCTGATTGTCATTACTTTTACGATAATATCGAACATAATTAATTATTTCGTTTAATTTTTTTTAATATCTACTTTAGTTATAAATAAAACTTAATTTCGAAATACCTTTTCAATTCAATAAAACACTCAAACCCAATTCTGCATTATCTTTTGGTAGCAAGTCCTAGTAACCCACTGTTAGACCAAAATAATTTTAATTTAATTATAATAATAATCAATGAGCAAAACAATATTCAATGATAATGAAGATTCCAAAGGAAAATGGGAAAAATTTAAGAACACGTTCCGGTAACTAATCCGGGAACTAATGGACAAAAGAAGATCATACAAAAACAAAAATGTAAACGAATACAAAGCCACACACAAGGAGATCAGGATAAAAATACGGGCAGCTAAAGAAAAGTGGTACAACGACAAATGTTTAGAGATAGAAGAACTCCAGAGAAATTATGATAGTTTTGAAGTGCACAAAAAAATTAAAGAAGTAGCAGGTATAAGACGGTCCAACAATAGTAACACCCTGGTTGATATGAATGGTAAAATAATATCTGGTGTAAAAGGCAAACTAAACAGATGGAGAGAATACGTCCAAGAATTATTGAGGATGACAGGACACAACAAGATAGCATGAACGATTAGGAGGAACATGATATAGGTCCAAATATAACTAAGGATGAAATAATACATGCAATAAATCTGGCAAAATCTAATATAATATCTGGCAAGATCAGATCAATGTATTAGTAGACTTATATAATACTATAATACGGGTATTATTCCGAGAGAATGGCTCAAATCAACATTTATTACATTACCAAAAAAAACCTAATGCAAGGGACTGTAATGATCACCGTATAATTAGTCTAATGAGTCACACACTAAAAATATTCTTAAAAATTATCCATTTAAGAATTTTCAGAAAAGTGGCACAAGACATCACTGAAACCCAATTTGGATTTAGGAATGCCATGGGTACACGAGAGGCATTATTTGGATTTAACGTCCTCATGCAAAGATGTATGGATGTAAACCAACCACTCTATGTTTGTTTTATTGATTATAATAAGGCGTTCGATAAGGTCCGACACAACCGTCTTATACAGTTACTTAAAGAGAAACACATTGACAAAAAAACTTAAGAATAATAACTCATCTCTACTTTAACCAAACAGCAAAAGTCAAAGTCGACAGAGAAATTTCGGAGGAAGTAGAGATAAAAAGAGGCGTAAGGCAAGGTTGCATACTCTCCCCCTCATTGTTCAATCTATATTCGGAAGAAATAATTAAAAAATCAGTGGAAAATGTAACAATTGGAATAAAAGTCAACGGCAGACCCATCAACAATATCAGATATGCCGATGATACTATACTAATTACAGAGAATATACAGGATCTACAGACACTGTTAGATAATGTAGTAAATGCTAGTGAGGAAAGCGGACTAACGTTTAATGCTAATAAAACAAAATGTATGACAATTTCCAAAACACAACAAGATAGTTTAAACATAAGAGGAGTTCCAATAGAAAAAGTAAAAAAAATACAAATATCTTGGTACAATTATTAATGAAAATAACGAGTATACAGAAGAAATAAAAATGAGAATTGGACAAGCTTGAGCAACATTTAATAAGATGAGAAAAGTATTATGCAGTAGAGACCTTAGTTTACAACTAAAAATAAGAATATTTCGTTCTTATGTGTTTTCGGTGCTGCTGTATGGGGTGGAGACCTGGACCTTAAAAAAGAGGTGAGCTATCGACTTGAAGCATTCGAGATGTGGACCTACCGAAGAATATTAAAAATAAGTTGGGTACACCGAATAACAAATGTTGAGGTCCTCAAAAAGATGACAAAGGAAATGGAAATCATGAATACGATTAAGATAAGAAAGTTACAGTATCTCGGCCACCTTATGAGAGGGAATAAATATGTGTTGCTACAAACCATAATGCAAGGAAAAATACAGGGAAAACGAAGTATTGGAAGAAGACGCATCTCCTGGCTCAACAATCTGAGAAAGTGGTATAATTGCAGTTCCGTCGACTTGTTCAGAGCTGCAATCTCAAAAGTGAAAATAGCTGTGATGATTACCAACCTCCTTAGAGGAGATGGTACCTAAAGAAGAAGAATAAATTGATACTAAATCAATAATTATCTATTAAGGTTGAATGAGTTTCGCACGCAGATAATGTTTATTTATTCTCCTGTAAAAAAACTTATTTGTGGGTTACGAGTTGTGGAAGCTTAAGCGACGATATGTAACAAAATTTTACAAAAACTTCATAAATGGAAATTAACTACACATTTAAACAAATGCACATTATTCTAGAAGCTATACATAATATCATTAAAATTTCAAATTCTTTAAAAGACATTTTTCTATTTTATGTAAAACATTAAAAATACAGATATGTTGTTTTTGTAACAAAGTCTTCTTTACATCTCCTATACACCTTTTTGCGTGGTCCGCCAAAGCACTAATACAATTTTAGGAAAAAGCAATTAAACCAAGGTGCTTCGAAACGAGCAATATTTTTACTGTGGTTCCCTTACTATGGTCCAGCCATTTAGGCATTTTATTTTGTCAAAAAATAAAATTAAATAAATTCATGCAATAAAGAGTTGAGGATAACATGTTTTGTTGACTCCTGTCAGTTTTGTGGTTAAATAAAATTGAAATTCAAATATGAATATAAGCATTCTTAAATACAGAAAGATTTAAAAATTAATAAGAATTAGATTAGAATTAATTTGAGAATGGTATGTTCCTATTTCTGTGTAACAATTTTGAAAACATGTTTAAAAGTAGGTAATCAGCAAATATTTATGTTTACTAAAACGGCAAATTTACCATAAAAACCTCGACACCAGCTAAACAATTTCAATGGTACCGTTGTGTCGCACAATTTGGACATACTTAACATAAATAGGTAGGTGGTAAACTAGATAGTTAACTAGTTAAATAGTTTGAATTATTATCATGGAAATCAAGCACAGTTATTTGAATATATGGAATCTAGTTTTTGCTAGATCTTTATTAAGATAAGATGGTAACTATGTACAAAACCACTTAAAGAAGTATTCAATGCAGCGGAATAGTTTACGCTGCAATAGACACGAAACGTTGAATTAACGGTTATATACAAAGTATTTTAGTTTTTATGCGAGGGTCGACATTAAAGCTATAATGCTTAAGAAGTTTGTATGAAAAAGTAATTATTTTCTGTAAAGCTGATTTTTATGGTGAAATGCAAGAAATAAGATATTTGTACTCGTTTCGGTTCTTCGAAAACATATAAAATGGCAAGCAGGAATTCGCATAAATAGACGAAGGCACTAACGATTTTTCCATGGCACTCGTTGATACAATTGTCTAACAACTGCTTTTGATAAATTTGGTGTTATAATATGTAATAAACAAAATATGCAAAAGATTAAAAGTCATTTTATATTTATTAAAAATATATAAACAATGCAAGATCGCTATTTGATTTTAAATACTATTGGTGCAGACAGGTAAATTATATGGAAAAGTACACAATTTTCCCTTAAAAAGCAAAGAAAATCCTTTAACATGAGGGTTTGTAAAGGTATTTTTGTCAATTTGTTGCAATATTATTGCAAAAATAATTTCAAAAGTCAACTTTTTGAAAATTATTAATAATTTTTCTAAAAATGCATATACAAACTTAATTTCGTGTAAGAATACTGAAAATATCACCAAAATTTAAAGAAGTCTTACTTAATAGTTATTGTGAAATTGAAATTGTTTACCTCAGAAATCTTTTATCTACAACCTTATTGTGAATACACTATTGGGACTAAACTGACTTCTGAAAGCACTAAATTGAAGAAAAAGGCTTATTTTATTGAATTAAATAATTTAATGATTACAAAGTTTATGCTAAATATTATAAAATAGATTTGCAAAAGTACTGCAATTTTAAGCTTAGGTATTAACAACTAAAATAGCACAGATAAAAACATGTAGGAAGTTATTTTTTTTTATTTGTCATGTTGGCATTTTAACACGAATTAAACAAAAAACATAATGTCCTACGCCCCTTAAAACTCGAGTTAGCCCTTTTTTTAATTCAACGGGGCTTTGTTTATAAACAATAAGCAATTTCAAAGAACCATTTGAAGGATTAAGAGTTCAAGTTTCACTTCTAGCATAACTCTTAATAAAAGATTAAAAGATTTCTAAAAAATAACATTTCAGACATATTCGTGGCTAACGACTCTTCAAAGTCCAATCTCTCATATTCCCGCAGAAAAATTATCATGAAAGGAACCTACTTAACTAAAAGCAATTCCATGATAACATAATGAAAAACAAGGTAATCCGAATGATATGCTATGCAGACGACCGAATATGATCTCTAAAGATTAACGTATATTTTCAATATAAAAAACAAAAAAATACAATATGAATCTCAACAGAAAAAAACGAAATACCCACTACGACGTAAAATCAAAATTGACAGAAAAATGATAAGGCAAAAAAGTTAGTTTAAATACCTGAGAATAGATACAAATAGATTTGAAAATATTAAAAAAGTCAACAGAACAGTCTGGAAGAACAAGCATCTAGACAAGATACAAAAGCAAAGATCTATAAAACAGCATTAGACTCATAATGACACTCAGAAGATATAAATACATGGAAAATAAAATGGAAACAGGAGTGGAACGATCACACTACAGAATTGCAGAAGATATTAAATAGTACAATATAGGAGGCTAATATCGAAGTGGAAACAGACTTACGGAGGCTTTATATAAGAGGGAAAAATTGATTATGGAAGGAAAGATACAAATATACAATTTCCTACCTACAAATTAAATGGTCAAACTCTGTAGAAAACAAACTGGAGAAGAATTACTGTAATCATATTAATTAGTAGGTACGTTATAGACAAAATGGAATTCGTTTAATTTCTCGATATAATTACCTATAAAATAAATTGATTTTACTCAAGAGCTCTTTATTGTTACTTTTTTTATTACATATATTTTCACATTGCCAGATCCATTCATCTCGATTAATATATGAGTACAATAAATGTGTCAATGTATTCAACTGAATATAAATGAATCTATTGAATTTCGCTATCATCTATCATCACAAACGAATAATACGAAGTACCGTTAGATACTGAGTAACGAAGTATTTAATTTTGTAGGTCTGTGACGTAAAAAATTGTATTTTAAAATTATTTTAAATGGCTTTTTCATTGTTCACATTCTTACTGTAAATTACAAATTGTAAATAACTTTTTTATTCACAGATTCTAATTTTCATTTTCTCAATACCAATATTCATCTAAGAATATATGTTTGTCTATTGAAATCTAACCGATTTTTATTGATTAATGCCGAAATTAAATAATATATGATTATGTTTACTTCGCTTCGTACAGCTGAACAGGTATCGCCCTCTATAGTTATTATGTCGTCAGCATAAGATTTACACCATTGAAAACATTTATAAATCTGCAGGAATAAAATGATAAATTTGTAATTAATTGTAAATATTGTCTGTATATTAATTATTTATATACAGGGTGTCTAGAAACTCTCGTGACAAACTAAGGCTGCAGATTCCTCAGATTAAGACAATTTACCCCAATTCACCTAGTCCGAAAATGCTTCCTAAGGGAGCTAGAGCTCTTTGAAGATGGCGCCTTGTAATTAGTTTCTTTTTATCCTTAAGAACCATTCTAGTTAGAAAAACGAAAACTGGAGCGATTATTGATCATCCAGAGTTGAATAGATTTTATCAATTGCGAATTTGTAGTATCGCTCATAAGCGTCCGTTTTGGGAAGGTGCACGGTTATTTTAACGCATAGCATTTTGGTCTTCACCTTTTAAGCATTCGTTATAATATATTATTAAATTTTCAGGTATTCTAGTACTAAAAGGTACTATTACTTTAAGTCGGTATAATACACCATTTTAGCTGTACGATATAAATTTTAGCTGTACGAGAAGTATAAAGAAATAGTAAATAAATGGGATTTAGTTTTTTTTTATAAAAATAGGTAGGCTTAGAAGGACTGGACATGTGTCAAACACAAATAAAAATAATCCACAAAGACAAACTCTACCGATTACGAGCACCAGAAGAAAATAGGAGTAGGGATAGACCCAAGACTGAGATGAAAGGATGGTGTAGCAAACTGGCAACGGTTGGCGACGAACAAAAATGACTGGCGAAATAACCTAATGGTGATAATAGAGACTTTATCTCATACTTTAAAATTTTAGTGCACAAAAATTGGCAAGAACATTGAAAGAGATCAACGTTCAAGCTCTATCAGATCCAACAAAATATTGACCATATGTACCAACTTGTATTCTTTAAAAAGAAAAATGTAAATAATTTTAAAAAGTTAGGAATTGGATATACATGAATAAGCCATCAACATTTAATTGCAAGAGAGAATCGTTCAATATATTCTATCTGTAATGAGTTACTTCCTGTGAAGCATATTCTTATTGATTGTCCAGTATGTAAACCTTCCAGAAAATGTAATGTAATTTACAAGAACGTCTAGGGAATTAGCCCACTCTCGTTATGCAAAAATCATTGATTTCACGGCAAAGTTTTTCGCAGATATCTAAAGCTTTTAAGACATAGGTGGAGGTTACTAAATGAAGAATAGATGAAAAAATACTCGTATTTTTACCTTGCGTTTTTTTTTTCAATCAATAAGTTATGGTTGCAATTTGATTTTTTTTTTCAAAAAGGCATCTAGCTGTAATGGAATCCGATATAATATAAATTTTTCCTACGTGTTCGAATTTGAGTTATCCCCTCCACTTTCCTATGTGGATCTTTCGAAAATAACTTCGTTTCGAAGGGCTGTAAGTTTCGAAAAATTTGATGAATTTTATAGTTATAAGTTTTAATATAAAGTTTAGATTTTCATTCAAAATGTATGCAAATTTTACTTTTTAATGTTAAAACATAGAAGATTTTTTTTAAATGTGAGTTTTTTACCAGCTATCCAATGGTTGTTCGTACAAGTTTGTAGCTTGAAAAATATAGCAGTTATTACAATTGTTTATAATTAAAAAAACATGCCCCTTTTCAAACGTTTATTTTGTAAATAATTTCAATGACAACGCAATATGCATTTATTTTCTGAGATAGTTTAAATCTTAAAGAATTCTATGAAAATTGCTAAATGTGTCTAGCATCATTAATAGAGCAAGTTCAATAGTTTAAATATTTAGCCTCGCAAATAAATAAATTAAATAACTTTTAAACTATTTGACCGATCGGGGGGAAATTTCGTACAAATTTAAGACAGTAATTCCTCGATGTTCAAATATATTAATAAGAAACGGGAAAATAAAGATATTTTTGATATAAAAAATAATATAAATATTGTTTATGTAAAATATAAGGGAAAACACTTATAGACAAAAAATCAAATTGTGACCATAAATTGTTTAAAAAAAACGCAAGGTAAAAATACGAGTACTTTTTCATCTATTCTTCATCTAGTAATCTCCACCTATGTCTTAAAAGCTTCAGATATCTGCGAAAAAATTTTCCACTTTTTTTTAACCAGACTGGGCTAAATATTGTGAATTCAGTTAATGGATATTTACTTGTAGGTACTAACCTTCTTAAAAGACTAAATTTAAAAACAAAATGTAATTCATATTATTGTTCACGAAAATCGTATGTATCAGTGTAACGGTTTGCAAAATGATATTTTTTAGTTAATACTGTATTATTATAGTTATTTAAATATATTGTTACATATTACTTACTGTAAATATAATAAAGATTTTTTTTAATGAAGCATTTCTACACAGTCAAAAATTACTAGCTGTCTTTATTGATATCAATAAAGCTTTCAACACTGAATGGAAATATAACTACAAAAATTTGAAATTGAGGGTCACACAATAGCTTTTATACAAAATTTCTTAACTCATAGGCACATTGAAGTAAGAGCTAACGGTTATAAGTCTAGTCCACGCTCTTTTGAAAATGGAATTCCACAAGGCTCCATTTTAATTCCAACATTGTTTCAGATTGTAATAAATAACATCTTGGACGAAATGAGATTACCGATTAAAGCCAATTTATACGCAGACGACTTGATTATCTATCACAAAAGCAGAAGTGTGGAATGTCCGACTGAAGTAATACAGAAGTTTTTACATACGCTGGAAAAATGTTCACTAAAACTGGTTTTAACTTTCCTCCTGAAAAAAAACACAGTACATAATATTTAGCAAACGGAAAAATATGAAGAACGTTAATCTAACTTTAAATGGACACACTCTAAAAGAAACAAACGAAATAAATTGCCTGGGGTTAACTTTAGATTGCACCCTAAACTGGAAAAGCCACATACATACCTTGCAAAAACAATGTCAACCTAGAATTAATCTCCTGAAAATTCTCTTAAACCGTACGTGGGGAGCAGATACAAGAACCCTATTAAACTTATACCAATCACTTATACGTAGCAAATTAGACTACGGCTCAATATGTTATGGTACTGCCAAAAACACTACATTAAAAAAACTAAACTCAATTCAAACAACGTCACTAAGAATTGCTCTGTGCGCATTTAGAACTAGCCCAACCAATAGCCTTCAAGTATTAGCTAACGAACTACCTTTACACTTACGAAGGCAACAATTGTCACTAAATAATGCAACTTGCATATCATCAAATCATCAAAATCCCATGCATTCAAATATCTTAAAACCTAAATGTATCAGTAATTACAAAAAATAAACCGATTAATACACTCCCTTTTCATGAAAGAATTAAATTCAGTGGTTACGACTGTGAGCAGTTTAGTGCCATCATAAATCCAATCTAAAACTTTCGCTCTTGGTCAACTAGTCTACCAATTGTAAATACATCCCTTACTCGCTATCCCAAAACATCCACTAACCCAAAAGTAATACATCAATCGTACCATGAAATAATATCCTTATATCCAAATTCTGAATATATCTACACTGATGCATCAAAAATTCAATCAAGACTAGCAGCGGCTTACATACATGGAGCAGACCACTTTAAAATACGACTCCCTCCGAGTTGTAGCATATTTACTGGAGAAGCAATGGCTATTTTAGAGGCACTGAAAGTTTGCAGAAGAAAATCCGCAACTCATTATATTATAATATCTGACTCATTAAGTAAACTAAAAGTTTTGCAGCAATTGTATCCATCAAATGAAATTATAATGCTAATAAAAAATGAACTCATACTACTATCAACAAAAAACACAGAAATAACTTTTTTATGGGTGCCATCACACGTGGGAATCAAGGGAAACGAAGCAGTGGATCAACTTGCGAATGAAGCTGCACTAGATGAAAGCATCCCTGTGTCACACATGATAACAAGAAACGACCATAAAACCTCCATTAAAAAACATATTACCAGTGTAACTGGAATTCCACATCCAAAAAATTAAAAGATGTTATAGAAACTGTCGGCACCACCTTACTACTTCCACTCAAACGTTGTGAACAAGTGATAATAACTCGACTACGATTAGGACATACTATACCAACCCATATTCACTTAATAAATAAAGAAGCTCTTTCTTCCACAACTGCAAGATCCAAATCACTGTGAAACATATTCTGTTAGAATGCAAAACATACACCCAAGAAAAAAGAAAAAATAACCTCTCTACCAACATGAAGGATCTACTAAGCTACCAGTTCAACAATAATATATATACTTTTATACTCTTTTTAGAGAAAATATTTATTTATAGAAAATTCTACATAGAATAAGAACAGCGTGATAGAAAAATAATACGATTTCAAATTATTTCACGCGCATGGGAGTCAAAATTTAAAGAATTTTTATGTATTAATCTTTAAAATGTTCGAATT